GCTGTTGTTGTCGCTGTTCCTGCTGCTGTTGTTGTTGGTGGTACTGCTGGCGGTGGTGGTGTTGCGGTTGGTGTTGCTGTTGGTGTTGCTTGCTTTGTTGTTTGTGGTGTTGTTGTTGGTGTCGTTGGTGTCGTTGTTGCCGCTGTTGATGTTGTTGTCGCTGTTGGCGTTGCTGTTCCTGCTGCTGCTGATGTTGCTGTTGTTGGCGGAATGGTTGTTGTTGTTGTTGTTGTTGTTGTTGTTGTTGTTGTTGTTGTTGTTGTTGTTGTTGTTGCTGTCGTTGCTGTCGTTGCTGTCGTTGTTGTCGTTGTGTCGGTGTTGTTGCTGGTGTTTTTGTCATGATGCCGTTGTTGTTGTTGTTGTTGTTGTTGGTGTTGTTGTTGTTGCTGCTGGTGTCGTTGCTGTCGTTGCTGTCGTTGCTGCTGTTGCTGCTGCTGCTGCTGTTGCGGCTGTTGCTGCTGATGTTGCCGTCCTTGTTGCTTTGTTCGTTCTTGTTTTTGTCATTAATGTTCGTAGCATTTCATTCTTGTGTTTGCTGTTTTTGTTATCATTGTGCTCTTGTTCTTGTTCTTGTTCTTCTTCTTGTTGCTGCTGTTGCTGTTGCTGCTGCTGTTACTGTTGTTGCTGCTGCTGTTGTTGCTGTTGTTGTTGGTGCTCCTACTCCTCTTGCTGCTGCTGCTACTGACGCTGCTCTTATTCCTGTTGTCGCCGCTGCTATTCTTGCTGTTGCTGCTGTTGTCGTCGTCGTTGTTGGTTCTTGGCTGGGGCGGGGTTCTTTATGAAGTTTTTCAAGCTGGAAACGCGACTGGTTGGCTTGACTGGCACGTCCCTACCCGTTCGTGCAATTTGGCTTTTGAAGTCAATCTCCGTCTGCACTGACCACTGTAAAACGGGCAATAACCACAACGCTGCACTGTCCAGGAAGATAGAGGCCGAACAGCTTCCACCAGGTGTGACACAGGTCATGTTTGCGGGTTCGCCTGGCTGTTTTCAACGGAGGATCAAGAAGCGGAAGGGAGATGATGAATGTGGGCTCGCAACGACAATGTTGTCAAATAAACTTGCGCGCGTGAGTTCGAAGATTAACTTGGCATGAATTTTCACGGGCGCTGGAAGGTTAAAATGTATTTATTATTACCAAGTTCCGTGCAGAATCATGCACATCGTGCATCGACAAAACAGCTAACTTATCTACCTGGACAATATGCTGCGCACATGCCAATGATACGCTTTCCAATCAACCATGCGCAACATAATACCTTTGATGTCTGTACACAGCTCCAAACATTGTCCCATCATCAGTACGTAGACCTGCCCGGCACAGGGCCCAGCCTCCGTCATTCTCTTGGATGTCTCTATTCCAGCGACTTTGACGGCCCTCAGATTGCAAGCTGCGTGCTACCTTTACTTTCAGCAAATGTGCAAACCCCTGTCACGCTCTCGGACTCCAAGCCCCAAAAAACACGGCAATGGATTGCATAACACAACGTGTATCATGAGTTGTCGCTATATTAAAAGCTTGCGCAGAAGGATGAAAATGTGTCCAAACCCGGACCAACAAGGAGTTGTGCAATGGATTGAAACTTGAAGTGCTAAAAGACATACTTACGACTTTGTATGATGGCCCCGTCTCTCTTGGGCCCTACCTGGCCATGTCGGTTCACTTCTTGCCCACGGCTCAACCGCACCGTGTCAGTCGTTCAAGATCCTTCCAGTTGCTTGTTTCCGGTTTTTTGCCTCATGTGACGCCATCTGGTTTGTTTCTGCTTCAAAGAGGTCCTTTCCTTGCGTTGCTGCGCAACTCGCTGTCTTCAAGACCAAAGCGGCGACTTGATCATCCGCAGGAGCTCCTTGATATCCCTCACTGTGGCCACGTTGGAGCCCCGGCCATTCCTGACAAGGCGCCGACCTCCGGCCGCCGACGGCCGACCGAGGTCACATGAGTTCAAGCAGGGCATCGATGTTGTTGGGCGTTTCTCATCACTTCCAGAGACTGTGCGATTCACGCGTCGCAAAACTTGCTGCTTGAAGCACACAATTTTCTGACAGTACGTAAAAGCAGCAACAGCAGCAGCAATAGCAGCAGCAGTAGCAGCCCGTTTTCTCTTAGCCTTGGCATTTACTCACTACAGGGTCGGCAAACTTGTCCCGCACCGTTGGCCCAGGCATAGCTCGCAACTGGGGTCACACTGGAGGCCTCAAATGAACGCAATAGATGCAATGGACCCAATGAAGCCAAACAAACATGAACGCCATCAAACCAAACTTTTCAGACCAGGCAATCCCGTCAACTCCATAAGTCCAGTCATTTCAATCCAACGCAATCAGTCCTATCCATCTAGCCCGTCCAACCAAAGACATGTGCTTGATTGCGCAACTTGCTCTGCATGCGCTCTCGTACATCTTGCTCTGCATGTCCTCTTCCGCAGAAGCGCTCTGCATGTGCTCTGGCACTACTTGCTCTGCATGTGCTCCCGCGCTACGTGCTCTGCGTGTGCTC